CATATCTTCCCGTGAGGAGTGAAATGATGTGAAGTATACATGAAATAATTCATATTTGAACTGCAGTTGTAGATGAAAGTGAAGAATGATCATCACAGTGAATTTTCCAATTTAAGCAATTTACTGCAATGATCATTCTTCACTTTCATCTACAACCACAGTTCAAATATCAATTATTTCATATATGCTTCACATCATGTACAGTGAGTGTTTTGTTCCCGAATGCTCCAGTAAGTTAGGTAAAGTATGTCAAGTTATGTCCTTCACTGGTTGTTTAGTAAAAATATTGCAAAATATCCATTTTGCGACTCAGTTTCACCCGTTCAACTTACATTAACATAGCTGTTTTGTGTGATAGAAACTTGAGCAATGTACCACTGATTCCCTTGATTCTTCTGTCGTGACCAAGTAGGGATGCTTGGAACAGTTCTAGTTGTCATAAGGTACACATTCAACTTGCCAATGCTGCTCCCATACATGTGGTACCAGAACTGAAAACACTTTCCAGCTTGAGGAGAGATTTTTGGACCAATAAGCCAGGCTTTCGAGTCTTTAGCCCAGATTGATGATGTCTCAATGAAAAGGTAATGCCCTGTTGAAATAGCAGCAATATCAAACAAATTAGCAGTTTTCAGTGTATAGAAAGAAGCTAAAGGAGAGCCACAGATAGTAGGCAAATACAAGAAGTTGCAAATGTTTAGGTGGGTAGAAACTCTCCCAGGGTCTCATGTGAAAGGATTAATACCCTCTGATAGAAAAATAAAGAAAACAACACAAACAGTACCTCTAGCCCCACCTACAGATGCTTATGCCTGTGAGTATCACAACTTTTTGGCACCAGCATAACCTACAGTTTGGCAATTATTTTGAAAGTCTAGCAGCTCTCACAAGCTTGTAGTTCTATTTGTCATCGTTTCCAAAAAAATACCATGTTTACTGTGTGTCAGAAAAATAAACCACAGCTAGAAAGAATCCAGAGTTTGCTTTTTCTGGAGGTGAGAAGTGATTTGGGCTGCCTGTGTACAACCCTGCTACCAACAACAATAACAGTTCTCATTTCTATACTTTGCAAACACACTGTTAAATCAATTGATTCACCAGTCCACCAGATCTCACATTTTCTACTGCAACTCTGTTTAAAAAATGTAACCCCTAAAAATTGATTGAAATTCTTGCACTGAAATAAATCATAGTATAGACAAGATGAGAAGCTTTGAAATATGATGTAATGTCATTCTAAGCAGTAGTACAACTCCATAGCTTTGAACAGCTTTGCATGCATAGCCTTATTTACTATACCATAAAGCCAGTACTTTAATGGCGGCTGGTGGTTTTTCTTCTTTTTTATCTCTAGGAGACATGTCAGATAAAGCACTTCTTTCTCAACAATTGTGTTTCAACACTTACCTCTTTTATCCCCCAGAGTGTGATCATTGGATGGTCCTGTGTTGATCGACAATGTTGCACCCTGCCCAAGACGCCAATCAAAGTTATCACCAGGATACTGCTTCCAGCCACAAAACTGCAACTGAAATATGGGACTCTCAAAGTCACAGTTTGCTGTTGCTGGGCACTGGCCCTCACTGAGTTTAATGTCATCTAAAGCGATGTCTCCTTGGTAACTCACACCCCTTACACCCTCAAAGACAATCTGGTATGGGCTTTTGTTTGATAACAGTATTCGACCATTCCACCATTGATTGCCTTGTGTACCGGATTTGGACCAAACAGGCCCAAGAAACTGTGCACCAACTTTGGTGTAGATGTTGAGCTGTCCTATGTGGGGTCCGTACATGTGGTACCAAAATGAGAGGCATTTGGGCTGAGATGGATTCGACGCAATGGCAGGTGAATGGATTCTTGCAGTGTCATTGGGCTGTCTTGGAAATGATGCCTCTATAAAAATATACCATCCACGAGCTGTGAAGAAAGATGCAAATTGGTTATCAATACTAGCCCTTATGATGTACAACACGGCAGTAACTTTTGAATGCCATCAACCATCATTTGTTACCAACTTCATTACAAATTTTTGTATAAGGTGGCATGTTACATGTGAATGCAATAAAATATCCACTTCTCTTGAAAAACTTATTGTTCAATATGTTCCTCACAAAATTCAGCTGCAGTTAACTACATTGACACAACTTGACATAACATGTTATGACATGCTCAAAACCAATATTTTGTTGAAGTATAAAGCTTACAGCTAACACTCATACCAGCTTGTTTGCCATATCACTGTACTTATTAACTGGTGAATAAAAGCAACATCAAGAACATGACAGAAATAATCTCTATGTAGCTTACTTGGTTGCCACCTGAATTTCTGGTTGTCTGTACCACAAGTTGATGACAAGACAATTTTGTTGTTGTTTGTTGCAGATCCTTTGCTTGGCATGACACACCACCCTGTTGGAATATGTTTCAGAGAACCACCAGCTGTAAACGTCCACTTTTCGGTGCAAGAGTTCATTAACACAAGGTCATTTGCATTAGCTCCAGATCCTTTCCTCTGGCTCACACACATATTAAACTTGGTCCATTTTAAATAGCCATCAGAAGTGAGCTGGAATTCTAAACGATTCTCACCACATCCATCATATGTCACTATTATGGTGCCTTCCTTGGGTTTAGAAAAGCCACCTAAGTAAATGTGTAAACACCTTGCAGATAACATGTGCTGAAGCGAGCCTGGACCATTGGCGCCGACTACACCTTGCTGTTTGGTATGATCCATTGTCGGGCCAGTGCCACCAGAGTATGTCCCGCCTTGATGACGTGTCCAGTTGAAAACGTCTGTTATATGCTCTTGAGTGTAGTTACACAAGCCTTTTTCAAAGTCACAGTTGTAGAGGGAGGGTGGTATAGGGGGTGGAAGAGTGAATGGCGTTGTTACCACAGGAGTAGTTGAGAGTGGGTTGGGATCAGCATTAGCTGGCAGTGTTGGGCAACTGCCATCTTTTATTAAAATGTCATCAATAGCAATATCACCACGGTAACTATTGCCACGTATTCCTTCAAATACAATCCAGTAGCTAATGCTGGGAATCTTGCTAAGTGCAACTCTTCCTTCTAACCATTGGTTTCCCTGTTGACCACTTAAGCTCCAAATAATTTTTTCAGACTTATTTCCAGGTGCTGTCTTCTGCAGGACATTGAGGGTGCCTATGTCTGCACCAAACATGTGATACCAAAAATGGAGACACTTGCCTTTGACAGGAACAGCGGTGAATGATTGACTGATGAATCTTGCCTTCTCATTGGGTCGCCTGGGTGATGATGCCTCAATAAACATGTATGTTCCATTGGCTAAGCCTGTGGTATGATCAGTAGGTGGTCCAGTAGTGTATGAAGTTGTGTTACCTTTGCCTTGCAACCAGTCAAAGTCATCTTCTTTCCGGGTGTTTCGCCAGGTGCAGGTTCCACTCTCAAAGTCACAATTTCCTTAAAATCAAACCAAAGATGAGATATCTCAGAGCTACTGAATAGATCAGGCTTTGTTTTATCTTCTGCAACTTGGACAGGGGGGGGGGGTGGCAGTTTCCCTCCCCCTCCATAACCACAAGCCAGGATATAAGAGAAATGACGAAACTTTGTGGTCGTGATATGTTTAAGGCTATAAAATACATAAAAACATATCCTTTGAGGAAACATGAGATGGTGACATCAAATCAAGCCACCCTTAATCACATGTAATTAATTTGGTGAAGATCTATCTTTGGCTGGGTGGTCCATTGTTTCTGTTGGATTATTAACCTGGCTCTTAACTTGAATATAAAAAAAAATGGTTGTCCAGTTTTGGTCAACTCAGATGATAAGAAACCTTCAAATAAGAGCACTGACAACTTGGTCACAGTTCTCTTTCAACTCTTGGAAAAGTGGGTAAAAGATACATACACTTACAAACAAGGGAATGCTATCAATATTTTCCAATACCATCTCAGATCTCAATGTACATACCTGGAGCGGCACATCTTCCATCGAATATTTGAACATCATCAATGGCTATATCTCCTGTGCTGCCGCCAACGGTTGCTTCAAAAGAAAGCCTAAAGGCCTGCAAAGGGCTCCAAACACTTACTTGGGCAGCAAGCCACTCATCTCCTTGGTTACGAGATTGTGACCAAATGCGAACACCAACAGAAGACCCTGTTTTCTTGTACAACTTGAAACTACCCACTGCCGAGCCATACATGTGATACCAGAACTCAAAACATTTACCACTGGTCTTTGGCATCAGGGGAGTCAATAGTCTGGCCTTGTCTCCACGCTTTCTTGAAGAAGCATCAACGTACATGTAAAAGCCTAGATGTTAACAAATGAAATTCAGGACTTAAGGAAATCCCACCATGATTTTAAAGGTCTCTAATGATGATCAACAGGTTACTACTTCCCTGTAACTGATCCTCCAAAGTATAGTTAACCATATTAAACTATTAAGAACCCTAAGAACATATCCACTTAGAGGCAGAATGGAGGATCTGAATTAGGGACATCCTGACCAGTACAGCACCCTAACGACACCCACAAAGGTGTTGTATAACCTTAAGATAAAAACTGGGAATTTCAGTGGCAGAACTGTTGTCTGTTGGCTACACATGCCATGTAAGAGTCGTAAGTACCCTGCTCAAACATACCTGCAGCTGATCCCAGTGTATGATCTGCAGCTGGACCTGTGTTCGGAGTTATTGTAGCCCCACTGCCACGAATCCAGTCAAACTTTTTCGAATCACTTGTATCTTGTGTGTAGCCACAAATACTACTGTCTTGAAAGGTACATGTTGCTGCAACATGGAGAAGATAAAAGGTTGTGGAAATCACTCTGTTTAAGTTTTAGTAATAAAAGCACTGCATAGTTGAACCCCTCAATGATGAACACCCTATAGTAGAATTGGCCATTACATAAGTGAGGTTTAATTTCAATATAAGTGAGTGTCATCAATGTAAAGATAAGGCCTTTAATACTGAAAGGTTTTAGTTTACATGAATACGTACTTGAATCAACTTTGCAGGGTCCTGATGTCATTGAAATATCATCCAATGCAATGTCACCTTGGTAACTCTTTCCCACCGAACCTGACATCACAATCTGAAACATGGCACAAGGTTAAATTCTGTTCTAGTCCTAGCAATTAGAGACCCCAACAGTGCTTAGGATTGGACAAGACAAACACTAGTTCATAACTGATTCCCTGGCTTCTCACGGGAGACCAAGAAAATGATGTGGAGCATGAGCCACAAGCAAATGATTCCACAGTTTTTTTTTAGGTTTCCCACAATTTCACCAGTGTTTCTAAAGCTTGATAAGAACACAGGGAAAATGTTCTCAATTTCTCTTAAGAAATGCTGGGAGAACAAGAAGAACATGTCACTAACTACTTACCTGGAAATGAGTCCTGCTGTTTACAGTGACCAACGCGTGGAGCCATTTGTCAGCATGTGTCCCTTGTTTTGACCACAACTTTGTATCATGAACACCTCCTGTCCTAACATAGACACTGAGGGTGTTGATGTCTGCTCCATACATGTGATACCAAAATGACAGACACTTTCCTTTACTTGCGGTGGTTCCAGGAATACTTGTGCTGATTAGTCTTGCAGTGTCATTTGGCTTTCTTGGGTAGGATGCTTCGATGTAAATATACCAACCTTTATCTGTCAAACCACACAGATAGAGTTAAGTAGTCCAATTCTAGGATTTTAAACTAATAGTCAATTTTATGACAATGATGACAAATTTGTTTATATTTGAACATTTTATGACGTGTGAATATTGTAAATATAGATCAGGTTCATATACATGTAAGCTAGGTCAGTAGTTTTTAATTTTTACTTATTATTACATTGTTGTTAGGTCTTTCTTTTAATTTATACACGACCCCACAAGCTTTTAGCTTTAAAACTTATTGTGTTGAAATAAAGGCTATCCATCTGCTTATCTATCTAGTAGTGAAAGATTATTAACTATTACTCAGCTTGTTTTTTTTTATATATTGGTAATTTATTCTGAGCAGTGATTTGCCCAATCAATTTGATAATAATTAGTATAATATTCTACTGTATATTTTGTGGGAACTAAATGGTTGCTGGTTGTTGTTGTTGTTGTTGTTAAATAAAAACTAGTGAAAAGAACAATGTTTTGCCTTCCTTGTGACAGCATTATGTCAAGTTAAAGATGTCAGTTTCAAGTGGGTTGAAGTACTGTTGTTGAGTTGTTGTCATTGTTGTTGATGTTGTTGTTGTTATTGTTGTTGTTGTGTGATCAACTCCTGCTTTGTGTTTGAAAATAAAAGGCTTTGCAACCTGTGAAAACTCTTATTTATAGATCATTTTCACTGGTCACACAATAAAATGAATAAATAAATCCAAAATCAAAAACCATTCAGTGGATTAAGTCAAGAATTGTAATGTCACAGGTGATAAATGAAGAACACACTTCTCCAAGTTTTGGGTCTGTGCATTTACCCAAACTACAGATATTCATTGAAGTGATTTACAGATCCCAGTATGTAGCTTTATGTCATGCACTGCCATGAAACTCTGAAATTTAAAATGCACTGGTTTCAAGATGAAGCATGCTATTGAGCTGAGTTGTAAACAGTTGTAAATTCAGCACCTCTTATGCCTGATGAGGATAAAACTATTTTGAGTAGTTTTTTTTTCCTAAGTACTATTTTGAGTAGTTTTTTTGCTTATTTAAGTTTAATTCATTTTTTTGGTACATGATAATCTATGTATTAAGAAAAATAAAATGGTTGTTGTTGTGTTGTTGGTGATAAAAACTTAAGTGGCTCGTTAGTTAACATGACATCACATACTTTTATGTTGCAAAAGCAATGCAAAATTCAAACTCTCAGACTTTGTCAGTAGTTCCTCTTTTTTTTTCACACATATTGGGCACCCCCTAATTTAATCATTTTAGAGTCGACAGAATAACTAAAAGATAGGTCTGCACATAGTCTAGAAAAATAGCATCAGATTTGTATTTTTCAATTTTGGAGAAACTAAGATAGCAGATGTGCAAAAGTGTGTTTTCGAGCCAATCCAGAGCATTACAAGTCATGAGGGTTGAGGTTTAGTTAAACTTACTAGTTCCTGTGGTGTGATCCACAGACGGTCCGGTGCTTGATGAAGCTGTTGCACCCAACTTTCGTGTCCAGTCAAACTGGTCTGTTGTATCTTGTTTCCAGGTACATATATTTGATTCAAAATTGCAGTTTAGACCAACATTTGCTGCAAATAAATTGGTGAGTAAGTATCAGTAGAAGTAGGAATGTTGGGTGGGATCTTCCTCCAACTGAAGTGACATATTTGATTCCTTGGTTATCTTGCTTTGCTCCAAGAGGCTCACTTATTTGAAAGGCAAGTGGTCACACCCTTTGATACACCCTTTGTTTCAAGTGTGCTCTACAATGACACTGGTAATGCCTAGGCATACACCATTGCCAGAACCAAAAATCAATCAATCAATCAATAAATTTGGGCTGAAGTCCTCAAACACGACAACCCAAGAATTGAGCTTGCTGAATCATATCATCACTATCAAAAATAGTTTAAATTTGTTATTTCTAAAACTTAATGCAACACTGTAGAAGTAACTTACGAATAATGGGAGTTGTAACTACTGGTGCTGTCGTTGAAGGAGCAGTTGTTGGGGCATTTGGATCTGCACTCTGTGGTGTCAGCGGACAATTGATGCCACTAAGAAACTTAAAGTCATCAATGGCTATGTCACCTGTATAACTGGTTCCTCTAACACCCTCAGCAATTATCTGTTACAGACAGATTAAAATATCAGCTATGAAGATCAATTACTTTTACAATAATATTATTATTAAAAAAAATAATAAAAAAACCTTTATTTATCCTCTGCAGTGTTTATAGCATAAAGGCTACTGGGGCCAAGCAAACAACTGAAACAAATAATTCAAATTGAACATAACATTGTTAAGAATCCCAACTGGCTGGAGGCAAACCAGTTAGCAATGTACAAGCATAGCCAAGGATTTGAACTTGATGCTACCATGAAACAAATCCAGGTAGTGGTCGGAGCGGGAATCAAACCCAGGACCTCTAGATTGCAAGTCCGATGCGCTGACCACTCGGCCATGCTGCCTCCATAACACAGGTACATTGACTCACATGCTCAAAGTAACAGCTGACTCCATATTGGAGTCAAGCTGTTTTGCGTCATGCAATGTTTACCCTGTAATTAGCTATATTCCCAACAGGCACTTGTCCACTGAGCCACGATCTCCCCTTGTTTCCTGACAGAGTCCAGATAAGTGTTTGAGTTCTGCCAACCTTCTGGTACAGATTGAGTGTGCCAATAGTTCTACCATTCATGTGGTACCAGAAAGTAAAACAGTTTTTGGAAGCTGTGCCGTTGAACTGAGGGCTGACTAGTCTGGCTTTGTCCCCTGTTTTTCTTGGACTTGATGTTTCAATGAAGACATAGAAACCTTAGTGACAACAACAAGAAAACAAATGGAAAATAAATTTAGGATATCACTAAGAATTCTCTATTTTCTTTAATGCAAAATGGTGTAAACAGCTAAGTTAATTTCCCAGCACAGTAAGGAAGACCACTTGCAGTCTTAAGTTTTGAAATAGCTTCAGACTGGAAATTATCATTATCAACCCAACATTTTCATTCAGACTCACTAGACTACTGAGGCTAATTTCATTTGCCCACCTGGCCACTGAACTTCTATTTTCACTTGCCCAAGAGCAAAATGTACTTGCTCTGGGCAATCAGACCTGGCTTTTTCCTGCCCTGTTAACTGCACATAGTGCTCAGATGTAAAAATTCAGACATTGCAGATTTTGAGCTGATTTTAGTTACATGTAGCTCATTACTCTAAGTGATAAGTATATTTATAGACAGCTCTGCATCAAATTCTAGGCTAATTGAAGTACACAGTAAAAACAATTTGTCAAGGAAATAAATAATTTTATGCAATTGTCTGAGATTTTGGATTAAATCTATTTTGCCTCAGCCTACCTGATAGGGAACCCAAGCGATCTCTGTCAGGGCCTGTGAAAGAACTAGGTGTGCCTCCAGATCCTCGTATCCAATCAAATTGATCACCGCGCATATTACTCCAAGTGCAGAAGTCAGTCTGGAAATTACAGTCCCCTAAACATAGTAAAATGTAAAGTTTTAATCCATGCTATTCAACCTTTTTACCATTTATTGCAAGACCTTGTAAATTAGGTGATGATGCCAGGATTTGAACCCATAAAGAGCTTTGTGCAGGGTGGAATGACTGAAACACCATGAGAGTGGTAGCCAGGGATAGGGCACAGTGGAAACAGAATGTTATGGCCTTATATGCCTACTGGCACAAAGAGCAGTAAATCTGAAATGTTCATAAATCTATTATGACTAACCATGAGTCGCACACGCGCCATTAGCCACTGAAATGTCATCAATAGCAATGTCGCTTCTGGCACCAGTTCCTCGGATTCCCTCAAAAACAACCTATAATAATAAAATAACAGAACATTTTGGCTGCTTGGATTTTGGAGTTCAACCTACCATCAAGCTACGTCACAGTTTGCCTAAATTCTTTAAGTTCTTCGTTTGCAATCTGTGTAAATCTTCCCCATCTTTAACCATCCTTACATTCCTAATTACTGGTCTATTTTACCATATTTGGTATTTTTCTATCTTACTAAACTATAGGTTTTCATCAATTTAAAGGTAATTTTGCACACAGCCAAAATAACTCAAAGTGCAGTGACTGAGTTCCTTTATCTGCAATCTTCTATCCATTTTTTTTTTGGTTCTTACTTTCGGGAGACCACATTTCATTTAAAAGTTTGGTGTTTCTTTTTGTCTTTTCTAACTCTTGTCTGCAATTTTTTGAGATAAATACTATATTTTAAAAGCATTTCAATGTTAAAGAAATTGTAATCTGCCTTTATTGTGCTGTCTTAAGCAAACAGAAAATTTTCACCTATTTCTGCAACATGTTGTACAGTCATGTTACATTGCAAATTTCAAAGGGGCTGAACTACAATTTTCTCACATTTTGATCAGTGTTTATACAAAATTGCTGGTAGATCCACGAAAATGAAACTGTAAACCTACAATTCATTGACTGAACTGTCTTTGGCTAGAATATCAGATGATTTGAAGCACTAACAGTCAGCTTTTTTCCTCACTGAATTTGCATAATGTTTGAGTTTTGTGTTAATTAGAAAATTGTGTCTTAATCGGGGCTCACGGTTTGCTCAGAGAACACAAGAAATGAAAATAATCACTATATCTTGATTAAGGAAGAATTGATGTATACACTGTACATGCATTTAAAGTTGAGAATGTTTTACAGTGATGTAAACTTCTGTGTAGCAAGAAGCTGAAACGTGTAAAATTTCAGATTATCACAAAGTGAAATCTGAGCTTTCAGTGCAATGACCATTTTGCGTGGATTTCTGCCGTTATATTGGATATTTCAAAAACTAAGTAAACTTGATTTCCTTCAGTTATTTACTTAGGCCTTCAAACTGGCAAAGTATGAGCAAAATCAATTTTTCGACTGTGGCCATGATTTCTTTGATTTTCAGTGACAATTACTCTTGATATGGGTGGGCTATTTACACTATATACCTAAACTGTGACTCACTGATTACAACTTGATGGACTTACACTGAATTGAGTTGTGCTATTAAGGGTGACCTGTCCTTTAAGCCAAGTCCTTTGACGACCTTGATCACCTGAAATACTCCAGATAGCACTTCCAATATTATTTCCTGTTTTTTGATAGACATTGAGTGTTCCAAGAGATGAACCATACATCATGTACCAGAAGGTAAGGCAATTGCCAGTGGAGGGCGTCTTAGGGTAAGATTTCATTATTCTGGCATTGTCACCAATATTATGCCCAGATGCTTCAAACAACAAGTAATATCCTACAAGGAAACAAAGAAATCAGCCCTAATTAACAAACACAGAGATGTCTTGAAAAAAAATTAATATTTAATTATATGGGACTTTTATAACAAGTTAACTACATGCAAAATCTTCTTTCTAAAGTTTAAAACTCATCTGGAATCCTGCTGGTGTTCATTAATTTATTATTTGTCTCTTACCCAGACTGGATCCTAGAGTGTGATCTACTAATGGACCAGTCCCAGAGGTCGGTGTTTTGCCCTTGTTGCGAGCCCAGTCAAATTTGTCTGTCTGGTCCTGAGTGAAACCACAGGAATCTTTCTCAAAGTCACACACACCTGAAAAGAAATAGGTGAGCATGTTATAAATATAGTGCACTCGCTATGGACATCACTGTTTACTTCTTGAGCCCTCATTCCAGGACCTGTCAATAGTAAGTAAGTAAGTAAAGGTAAACGTAAAGTCTGCATACGAGCCAAGTGGCCCACCAGGCTGGAGCTTATCCCCGTTTTTGTAGCATGAAGTGACTAGGAGCATTTCTACTCCCCCCTGGATGGGATGCTAGTCCATCGCAGGGTTACCCCCAGCATTAAGTTTGCCGGTACCCATTTAGTACACCTGGGTAGAGAAAGGCACTGTGAGAGTAAAGTGTCTTGCCTACGAACACAACACAATGTCCCCAGCCAGGGCTCGAATCTGGACCGCTCAATCCGTAGACGAGCGCACTAACCATGAGGCCACCATGCCTCCCACAAGTAATTAAGTAAAGTCTTTATTTAAGGAATGTAACACATAAAAATAGTATGTACATGTACATACTAATAAACTAGTGGCCCTCTTACAGGACAATAAATGTACTAGAATTAAGATTTGCATGGATAAAAGTTACTAAAAATCTATAAAACTATGAAATAAATGTAACCACACGATGAGATATTTATAAATACTGATTAGACTGTGAAAGGAAAAAAAAATCCAAGGGTGGGGTAGGAAAATGCTTGCAAACCGCTCAAGACTGCTTTCAACAATCACTACAAATTACTGCTCAAGAACTCACAGAACTGGTGGTAAGGTAGTTGCAATGTTCCACATGAGCCTACACTCATGAGATTGACTGCTGACTTGAATACCTTGTTAAGATTGCAGCAGTTAACTTTGTTAAATTGCCATTTAACTAGTAAATGAAACTTTTTCAATCAAAAACAAATTATTTCAACCACAACCTACCCATATACCACAAAGTATTGCAAGAGTTCTACCAGATCTCATCAGTATAGGGAGGGTAATTGATCTATCAGTTAGGGAATGATTCCAAGGACAACTTCAGCCCAGTTAATAAAGCTTAGATTTAAGCCCAGCTTCTGAAACAAGTGCACTCAAATTGAAGTTGGTGATTGCATGGAGCATTTTACTTCAGGCTGAAATTCAAGCTCAGTTTGAAATGCTGAGCTGGCAATTTCAGCTCCATCATTTGAGAAAATGCGCTAAGAAACCAAAAGCCCAGGTAACTCAAAGGAGAACTTGAGTTTGTGGAATGATTGTGTTTTCAGTCAAACAAGATATATAGAATACCATCTGCACTCTGACCAAGCTAAAATTCAGCTTGAGCAGAAACTTTTCACATACAGGGCTGTCAATAAGGGCCGTAACCCATAGCACCAGATACAGCTGAAACCTGAAACACCAGTTATGCCTGAGCATGCTTGATGGGTCCTTGATGTTACAAGTGAACTTGCCTGTAGTTGATACAATTCACTCATATAATTTAGAAAGTTTGTTACCGGAGTGAAGACCAAGGCTACAGGTGAATCAAACCTTAATGACAACCCTGATACAGTGTATGTAATTATATCCCCTTTCATTAGCGCTGGCATTCTTCACATTCTTACCAGATGATGCACAGGATCCATCTTTCAGCTCTATATCATCCACAGAAATGTCTCCTCTATAGCTGGATCCTGTGATTCCCTCAAACACCAGCTAAATGAAACAAAGAAAGGAAAATAGTGTGATACGTTGTATAAAACACAAAGCAGAAATGTTCAAGCCACAACCATTTCATAAAATATGATTGATAAGACCAGCTCATATCAGGGTTAACCAAATGGTCTACAACAATGTACAATAACATATTTTTAAACTATACTTATTAAGCTAGCTTGCTATAGCCATACTAAAGAATATTGGCCCTCAGTCATTTACAGATCTCGCTGTGCTTGTTCCATACTGCCACAAACTCAAGCCAATATTCCACAGTACAGCTCTCACATGCAATTAGTAAGAGTTTAGAATTAATTGCTATTTTTATATTTAAAGCAGACCACATTATTTTGAACCTCTCCTTTTTCAAACTAGTTTTCTTTTCCCTTCAGATTTTGAAATAGCTGGGTTCAACTGTAACAAGAGATAAATTTCCGCCAACACTTTAGAAAAATAAAACAAGTTATTGTTAGACCACCAGAAGCAACTTTTCCTCTAAAGAAAATATTTATAACACTTCAGGGGCACTTTTGGCACCTCCCAAATAGGAAAAATTGAAGGTTCCTAAGAATGCCTCATGTCACTTGTTTTTGAGTGCAAAGAAACCACCGCCAAACATAACAAGTGTAATGCAAAAAAAAAAAAAAATACAATAAAAATAATACTAGATGTACATATAATTTATTGTCTAATAATATTATTAATCTTTATAAATACCTAGATTAGCCCAGGCTACCTCCGGGTTCACATTGTTGCTATTGCCAAGCTTTTTTAACTTAATGTGTATATATTTCTGTAAAACTGTAAATATGCGAGTCATAATAAAGTTGTAAAGTAAAGTTGATACCCCTCACTTCTTTTTTCATTTTTTTCCCACCTTTCTATTCTGCTTCCTTTTTAAAATAAAAATTCCTAATTTTGTAAATTCGTAATCTATTTATTAAATAAATGAAAACATTTGCAATTAGATCTTAATACACCGGCCCACCTAAACTAGCACTTAGCTATCTGCATGGCAGTCTAAATATAAAAATGTAAATTGAACAAAATAAAGATTGTTGTTGATGCTGTTGTTGATGTAGCATAATAATTGGGAGTTTAAGAAAACCACGATGGCAACAGCAACAGGAATGTCGCTAAACAAAAGATTTAATGAGGAAAACAATGGCTGTGCACACGCATTATAATTCTTAGTCCACTTCTTTACCATCCTCAGCAAAATAACAACAAGAAACGGCCAAATTCTGCATTGCCTGGAGAATGTGAACCACGACAGCTAATTTTTTTAATTTTTATTTCAAGTTTATCGCTAAGTCCCAGATTCAGTTTTGTAAAAGTTTTGACAGTAATAAACAAAGCAAATAACTCTGGATTACCACGAGATTCGTAGGTAAAATATAAAATCACTTTTTACTTGACGTTATCCTCGGCGTCGCCGTTGTGGTTACTTAAACTCCATAGTAGATAACAAAAACAGGAGCGCATTTTCACTTTAGGTGTGTTTAAAAATACAATTCCATCTGCCCCAATTTGACCCTTATTGACAATTAATTCTTGTGATTTATACCCGTTTTCTTATTCTCACAAAGTGCAATTTAGTCCCCATAAAAAAAGAAATCTGTACAGTGTGGTTAAAACTTGTCTTTCCAAAATTAATAGCCCAATTCAACATTTTATGCCTGTCTTTCAAGGCCAAAATGATTAACTTGCAAGTTGCCAGGAACACAGTAATCTTAGGTCATGTTCTATTGGGATCAATTGTCTCTCTTTGGTGTTTTTTGTGTTCTGTTGGCAAAAAAAAAAACATTAAATTGGTTTGTTTGGTTGATAAACTTTTTCAACCTTCCTAAAACCAGGTTGCAACAGTTGAAAAAGCATTTGTGCGATTATGATGTGTGATGGTAGCTCACAAAGGACTCTTCCCAGGGGTTACTGCATTTAAACTGCAAAAGGTTGGGAAAGTGTTCAATTGAGAAACAACAACTGTATGAACCCGAACCGGTTGCTGTTGAAACGGTTGATCCCAATCGAACACAACCTTACAATGGGAACATTAAGAATTCCAACATAGGAATGCAGTTAAGCCCCTCCATAACCTTGTGTGGTCATGTGAAAACGAGGCAAAAAGAGGGACCTATTATTTTGGTTCTCATCAGAGATATATCATGTATCTCAAATGACTTGAAACGACTCTCTACTAGTAGCTTTAAAAAGTGGTATAAAAATCATCTCCTCAATTGTCAGTCATAGTTTTGAACTTCCAATTATAATTCACTTTGTCGTCACATCTAATATCGTTTTTTGACTTTTCTGAAAGTAATCTTTAATGTGATATTTTCTTCCTGTTTTCATTTCCTCCTTCATTCCTTCCTTTCTTTATTTGTAAATAAGCAGCAGCTAACTCAAGAGCTTTGCTACTTTGGCTGTTGCACACTGACTCAAACTGAACATATAGTTATATAATCTCTATCATTATGTTTTCCATAGTTTCTTTTTTGTCTTTACCTTTCTTTTGTACCTGAATAGAGTGAATAAAGATTGTTGTTCTTGTTGTTTTTGTCTCACATCCTTTATCAAAATGTGATGGTGTTTTTAAGTTATGTTTTCAGACAACTGTAATTTTTTTTTTTTAATTAACTTTAAAATTCATGAGTTTCACATTTCTCTGAAGAGTAGCCAGCACCCTTAAGTCTTGTGGACAGAAATTTTCAAGGGTCACCAGTGCTTAGAGATCAAACACCAAACTTGGGAAAATATCTTGGGTCTTAAATACAAGTTTTTATTCAACAAGCGCCAGTAACACTATAAACATAATCATTAAAGGGTGAACTTTAAAAGTTTGTAAACTTACCAAATATGATTGACTCATTTGAATATCTACACTTGCTTGTTTCCACGCATTGCCCTGTGTTCCATTTTTGGACCAGATCGCAGCTCCTAGAGTAGTCGTGTTGGCATACACATTCAACGTGGCAACATGAGGACCGTACATATGATACCAAAACGTCAGACACTTTGTGCTTTGCTGCGATACAGAGACCATCGGGCTGGAAAGACGTGCAAAATCTCCATTTCTGCGCCTGCTTGCCTCAATGTACACATATCGAGCTAGAAGAAATAGAATTGGAGCTGAAAAGTATTGAAATTACAGGAGCCAGTGCAATTAAAAAACAATTATCATTTGATGCATTTTCCCCTTCCTTTTCACCAGCCAGGAGCTTATCACATGACCTAGTACAAATAATAGTTTGCTCACGCATAATACTGTCTAGATGAGTTTTTTGAAACAAAACGGTTTACAACAACAAAAGAATTCATACAGAGTTTTCCAAAAATGTGCCCCCATTAATTAGTTAAGGCAGATTTGGGATGTTTGACAACCTAATATTTGTTTTTACTCTTTTCTAACCAATTTTGCCACTATGTTTTCTAAATTTTGGCACTCAAGTGTCTTCATATCTGTTTAAAACATATCTTTTTACAAACAGTATTACGTAGAATTAACTGTATTCTTTGTGCTCCAACTGTAATATCATTTGAAACAGGTCCAGCCTGTTTTGCAATAGTACGCAAGTAGAGGTCTACTAATTAAGAACTTGATTGTGAGCTCAAGATTTCTATGACTGCATGATGGCTGATAAAGGCCAAATCAACTATCACCTCACAGAAATCAAGAGAAAATAATCTAATTGTATAGGTAGAAATCTCACTTAAGGTCCATTAAAAAATGTGGAAAACAAAAAGTTAAAAAAAAAGCTTTTCTCCACATGTCTTGTAATTAACCTCTGCAGCCACCTGCTGTTTTACTGTACCTAACTAAAATCTACATGTATATAAGAGGGTCAATTTTTTTTCAATTCACCTAAAACCTGTAGGAGAAAGCTGCAATTTAAGAGCCACTTAACTGAGCAGAAAGTTCAAACTATTGTTTGATAAGCTTCCAGGGATATCCTATCGCCTATGTGAGATAATACCACTTGTCATCATAGACCACTTTTGGTGAACTATAACGGTTGGGCAATAGGGTACAATAGCAACTGTAGCCTAACTGATTGTAGCATTATAATTTGTGTTTAGTGCTTAAAGATGATTTCCAGTCCATAATGCGCACACTCGAGAGTTCGTTTACGTTTTTTGTTTTGTTTCATGTAAGACATCACAAAATGTTAACATTTTGCAACTGCTTTAATACATGAAGTAAATTCAAAGCTTCAAAACAACTGCCATAATGATTACGGATGTGAGGCGGTCGAAGCCTTATGCTTCATTCTTTCTCATATCACTTGATGAAACAACTTTGCAGCAGTGCTGTAAAAATCAATGAAGCTGTTGAAACAAGAAGATGAAAGGCCTCAAACATAAGGTAATACTATGTGGTTTGTAATGAATAACATCAATTCGCATTCCATCGAGTGAGACTTGTAATGTTTATAAACATTAGGAATGTAACGATTCACATTCCTTGCAATTCGATTCAATTTCGATTATTGTCTTTCAATTTCGATTGTTTCAATTTGATTATGCAAAATATTAATCTAAAAGATGCAGGTGGATTCATAATCGCTTAGTCATTCTTCGCCATGTTTGAGAACATGACAATGAGTGTATCACACATGGTTTGCCTTATTTGGAAATTCTCAAGGGGTGGTAGAAGAGCAACATTAATTTTTACCAAGCAACACAAAATGGCGCACGAAATGTAAATGTCTTTACTGGTCAATCAAAAATGCACATTCTAAAGAGTTCTGGATTCTGATTTCACAATATAACAACTCACTGAGGGCACCCTGGGAAAGGTCTGCAAAAAATCGAACCAAAATCGAAACGTGGAATCAAAGAATTGTGAATCAAACCAAACAGTCATACATGTAATTGCGATAAAGCGAAAATTCAATTAATCGTTACACCACTAATAAAATTAGGGTGCTGGGACTATGCAGTACAGACTGGAAACCATCTTTAAGTAGAATTCTTATTCTTTAAGTCAATAATCACCTGTAAACATGAACACAGCTGTCCCATTAGTATTAAAAGAACCGAACCCATCTGAGCCACAAGTAGCCTTTCCATATCTATTGTATAGCCGGTCAGCTTGAGCATCAGCCATACATTTATATCCAGAGCCAATTTTCATTATACCAATGCCTTGGAAGTTTCGGTTGGTGATTTTGTTTGCTCTATTTATACACTGCTGTATAACATCTGATCCTCGGGTTATTGTCGTCAGTGCGTAGTTAAAAATAGGGCGTCTTGGATATGTCAGATAACAGCCAAGGGAATATACACCTAAAACAACAAATGGCAACAAGTTGGAATTTTTAAATGTTTAACCCAACAGTACCAACTCAAACGCATTCAATCCTCTTGATGTCACGTGGCTTATCAGGCCTTTACGAGACATTTTTATATTGATAGTTTACTGTACATGGTCTTCTTCATGTCTCTTTTACACATAGGTAACCAGAGTTGGAAAAGGACTAATAGTAAATGAGAACTCAGACACTGAAAATCAACTTGACTTCTTTTCAAAGCTAATGCTATGAGAAACACGTTAATATTAATTAGACTGCTATCTTTATCCTATACATTAGAGAAAAACATTTCTTTTAAGCTGGACTTTTCCCACTTTTCCAGTTTGGAAAAGTGTTTATGTGAGGTTTACACTAATTTTGTTCCATTTTTCGAAAAAACAAAAGAAATTGGTATGAAAGTGATCTGAAACAAAAGACAAACAGGAGTCATTGAACATCCAAGATTGGCAAATCCACACCGCCAACATTGTCGCAATGGCCATGTCAACATTGTCACAATGGTGATGTCAGCTCATTGTTGTTCAATGTCGTTACTTCATGCTGGTTGCGTGGTATCGATGAACACATTACTCAAGCAATTTCACACAAACATTTGTAAATTGTCTTATTTAAGGACAAGCACAGGAAAATTTACCAGGCAATTGATTTTTTTAAATTTTTACTGCAGTCAGATAGTGAGTTACTTCTGTCAGAAATGCAAAAAAATGGGGGTCAATTTCATTTCAGAGATAAAGCATGTGGAAAACTAACCTGATTTTTAAAAATTGGAGCACGTAGTTAAGCATGGTCTACAGGGGTTTATAGTTAAAAAGATCAAAGGTGAGTCAATGGAGGGTGTCTCGAAAACCCGAATAGCAAATAGCGAATAGTCGCAAATAGCGAATAGCGAATAGTACGAATAGTGCAAATAGTCTCAAGTGGTGCGAATAGTGGCAAACAGTCTTGAATTAGTGGCAAATAGTGGCAAATCATAGCAATCAGGGTACCCAGTATCTCACAGTCAACCTTGCAGCAACGCAGGATGGGATTTTCCTGCTAAAAAGCACAGAAGCTTATCAGGACAAAAGGTGTTTCTAAACATAATTTCTTCTGTTTTAACCGCTGCAAAAGTGTAAATACGTCTTTATTAGGTTATCCTTGTGTTTTCTGTTTTCTTAATGTTGGCGATGGACAGCCCTAGCCTGAGTTCGCAGAAGAAAAGGCAATAAATTCACTGAATTTATTGCTATTTGGATAATTAATTAACGCAGTATATTAGATCTAAAGCGGTGACTATTGATGACTATTCGTCACTATTCGCCACTTTTTGAGACTGTTCGCCACTATTCGCACTATTTGAGACTATCCGCACTATTTGGGACTATTCGCTATTCACAACTATTCGCTATTCGCTATTCGGGTTTTCCAGACACCCGTCAATGGAGGCAGACGATCTTAGTCATATTTTGTAAAAGTGGTTCTGTTCCAAATTTTGTCAACATTTTCACAAAATTTAACCCTTCAAGAGGCATTTGAACCCATCACACAGATAAACAAAGAGCTAAAAAGAAAGGAATTCGATGGTGCATTTTGCAAAAAATTCAAACTTCAAATTGATAGATTTTCTCCATTTTTTTGCTAAATGTAGAAAATCCGTAGGGAAAATGATTCTCCGAGATCATTAGCTGTAGCAATGGTTATCTGCCCTATCACTGTTTATCACTGCACGTTCATGCATGACATGGAGTGTGAATTTGTGTGTGCAGTAAGGATGCACAGAAACAATTAGCGCAAACATCCTTAAGAAGAAATCTTACTGTTTGGGACACAGTTTCCCCATTTGCCATCTGCGGAAAAATTCTTTGTTGTTGCACACCAAAGCAGGGTATGACGAGCATCTGTACATTTGGTATATCTTTTCCCACGATAAGTAAATGGGAATACACATGCTGCACCACTGGAATTACCACCGATGGTTAAAACTGAAAAAGATAACACAAAAACAGTCAATAATTTCACTTCCAAAAACATCCAACTCAATGCATCAAACATTTTTGTCTTCTTGCAGCAACAGCTTTAAGCATTCTATAGTCACTGAAAAAAACAAATCATTTGACAAAGTGGTGGTCAATCTTTTAATTAGTGAACCTAATAGGACAGGTGCAAGCCATTATTAATTACAACAGGTCTTTGATGCTGTGCAAAGAGCCCCCAGAGACAGAATCCCTGCTGGTTTTTGCACCCTTACGCTGGGGCTGATCTAAGGCGGTTCAGGGGGGTTCTGTCGAACCCCCTAAATTAAAAAAAATGAAACATAATAACATGTTGACTTGCCTCAGAATCCCAGAAATCCCATTTCTGAGGAATTCAATTTTTTAAATTTCTGGTGGGAGGATGCAACTGGACCCCCCTAAATGAGACCGCCTTCGGCAGTCCATATCTCAAACTCCCTTCTTTAAATTTCAGTATATGCCCCAGCTCATAGCGGCCATGCCTATAGCAGTACATGAAATTTATTGTTAACAAAAACGTGCCAACTGCCACCCTGTACATGTAAAAAGACAACAAATAAAATTTAAACAAAACCTGTTCCCAACCTGCCGCTCATGTAGAACAAGTTATCGTATGAAAATGCAACAAAAATGGCTTTGTACTTACTTGTGTTGGATTTCGGTGTGTGATCTGAAGTTGGTCCTGTGCCAAAAGATCTTGTTCGTCCATGATACCATCTCCAGTCAAACTTGTCAGACTTGTCTTGTTTGTAATTGCATAAGCCAGTCTCAAAATTGCAATTCTGAGCAGTAGCCCCTGTAAAAGGAGATTGGAAAAACTTTAATTCTTTGCATGCATCACTTGAGTAAGGAACAATTTAAATTTATTTTTTTTCTCAAAAATAACGCATTGTAATGGTGTCCCTGAATACTCACAGATTTTATGATTACTCATCAACAGAAATATATATTTTTTTGTTCTTATGTTTTCTCCAGATTTCAGGGGCACTGTGGACTGGTTGCTCCCAGTTTTCCTTTCCCATACCAACACGCCTTGTTGACATCTTCCTTAATTCACGTTCATAACTCCCTTACAATTTCAGGCTAAAGACGTTTGTATTTAAGCTTAGTAGGCAGCATCCTTAAAAGAAAATGGACGAATAACATAAAAAGGGTCGCACATTCCGCGGAATAAAAACACAGATTTCCAAAGCGCGGGGTTTAAACACCTGCAAGCTTAAACACTGAGAGGCAAACATAGTAAAGCTTTCTTTCGAATTCTTTTCACGACAGAAAAGTAAACAAGCTATAGGTTGCTGAATCGAAGATTTGACGAGACACCGTGGCAATTCTGTTCATAGCAGTAAAAACTTCATTCAAACATCAAACCAAACCATTGTTGCTCAACGTCAAAACTGAACTTTTACGTCTGCAATTTATTTAATACTTCCGCCATTTTAAACTGAACACAGGGACGGTGACCAAACAAACAGAACTAAAATGGATGGCTCTTATGGCTTAAACATATTAGAAATAGCGACACTGAAGTCGTTTACCTCAAGGCAAAGTATATATATTTGATTAGTCCAGAGCCATACTGTTTGTAATAACACCAACAGCTGAACCATGGAACGGCACCTCGTTAATAGTCAACAATTTCCCTCCCCTCCCCTCCCCTGGTAGTGTCGGCACTTTTGTCGTGGCAAGCGTGATTTTATGAAAACCAACTTCCAAACTTTTTTTCCTGCTTTTAGCTGTCGAAATGGCTGGCTAGAATCCGCGATAAAACACTGGAATAACTGGAGACTAGTTAAAATTCTTTCATTCTGTTTACAATCCTTCATTCGATGTTGTTACAAATTTAAGTCCTTTTAAGCTCATAAAGAAGGTCTTCAGAGCCGCAATCAAAGAAAAAGTTTACTTAAGACAAGCAAGATTTGTTAAAGTATGTAAAACAAAGCGTGAAAAATCTTGATCAAAATACAGCAACCGACTTTGTGTCAAATACTGGAGTTCAAAACAAAGACAAAATGCTATCCAATACAAAGTCTTCGCATAATCGTTCCTCTCGTCGTTTCTATATTTTCTCAAGAACTTCCCCAAAAAGTTTTCTTTTTCCCCTCGTGTGATATTTAAAACAGCACAAACCAATTTGCTGAAAGCAGATGAAATTTGAGAGTCAAAATTAGGAAGCACCCGGCACTTGACATTTGATTTGGGAAAACTTGTACCATGCGCGAACGTTCGCGCGGAAAAAAAATTCCCTATCATCTTTCACGCTGGCTTTATTAAGATCACGTAAACAATTGTGCGGATAACTTAAAATCCTTTGGGTGGCAATTGCAGCTTACCACTATAATAATGTGTTTACCCTCCAAACTGAACATTTGCTGCCTCGATATTGGTAATGCAGTTTAATGCAATTATTCCGATAACAAACCGTAGAATTACCGTATAAGCAAAACATCATTCAAGTTATAGTAAAAGAACCAAAGGCCTCCTCTTTTCTATACATTGTTTGCTTTTCACGTGCAAGTCGGTACTAGCAGCTTCTCTGACTCTGTAATTGTTATGAATGCCCAAATAATATGAGGTAGAATACCCTACCTGTTGTGTACAACAGAAGGAGCGCGAAGAGCGTCCCCCGTCGCATTTTCAGGCAGCTCTAAGGTCCGTTCAACTTCCCCTCGCTTCGGTTATCTTTGACTCACAGGATAGGACAAAAACGAGCTGTAAGCCACGAGAAGCCAGGCCTAGGTAAAGAATGTTCACACCTTAGTGACAATATCAACTTTTTTCTTTTGATATTGAACGGAACAAAATTAACGTAAGCGTTGTGCTTATGCACTGCAGAAGCCTTATATCAAACACACTTACGCAGTCCCCCGTTGTCAGGGCGCATCACATATCGTGAATAAATATAGGCAACCTACCTACCTAATGTGTGAGCTTTTTAGTTTAGTGGCTTTTTGAGAAAGTTTCATCAAAAATTCGCAACCCAAATTGATTTAATTCAATTGAATTTCCGTGTCATAGCAAAAATTCAAAACCCAATTGAATGTCCAAAATTATAGTGAAATGGGTATGGGGGCGTTACATAATTTACTGTAGAACCACGCGCCATAACAGCGTAAAAAATCACTATTTTCAAATTTATAGAGACAGAAACTGAGTTTTGTCTATAAATAAAATTCGCGGGATTTTTGACGGATGTACCAGTCGAAATATTTCAGATCGAGCAAAATTAGCCTCGTTTCGCATGTTGCATTGCACAAAAAGTACTGTATTCAACATGCAGTGCGGGCTCCTCAAAAATTCCATGTTGTACCAGGTGAAAGCTGGTTCCAGTTTAAAACGTTGAATTTCTTTTTGTTTTTACAGTCTGGCGATCGAAACAGGATCATAACTATAGAAATAGCTATCTTCAACGTTTTCCATGCTGTTTACGTAAATTTCAGAGCCAAATGCCGAAATCCCGAGTTCCGAAATCGAGTTCTCACACCTCCCTAATGTTGTGTTACGGATTAGTAGGGGTTTAATGGAGCTTCTAACATCTGCATAACTCAAGAATGGAAACTGCATTACAAGGCGACTTTAAGGAGTTAGCTACCTATTAGCTGATTGCGAAAGAAAACAGCAGCACCGAATTCGCCGTAATATTGCTTGTTTCTATTATACGATGACCTGAGTACTGAAAGACACCTCAGCGACAACTCGCACGGCCGTGCAAGGCACCGCGTAAACTAAGTGCAGTTGCAAAGCAAAAGGACAGCGAAAAGTTAACTGCTCTAAAAACCATACCTTGTGGATGTCCAACAGTGTTAAAAAACCTCGCTACATGAATCAGTGGCGGAAATTCTTCTGACTGCTACAGAAGAGGAAGTCGAGCAGTTTGTGCCAAGATCTGGCAACGAGAGCTCAGAGGCTGGCACGGAAGAGCTGTGCAAAGATCCCCAGACATTACAATGGATGTCAATCATTCGCTTATGGAAACATATAACCAATCATATTGGATGACAGTAAATAAAATGCATGCTCTGGTTTCGGTTTTATTACCAGTGCTATTAACAAGTTTAGTTTGTGTTTGTCGATGCATATCTTTTCCTTTGTAATCCAGCTCTGTTTGAATTATCTTCGTCAAACAGTTCTAAACCAAACAGCATTTCGTTTAAGTGCTGTTTTAAAATGAATCCAAAGCACTTTCTTTGTTTTTGTCTTGTGATGTCAAAAAACAGACAGAATCAATTTAAATTATAAACTTCACAGGTATCAGGTGACTTACCGCGTGTCTATAATTAGTCAAGCGACGTTGGCGGGAGAATGGCTCAGGAAATCGAGCCTGATGGCATTACAATGTCTAAAATATTCGATGTCTGAAATAGTGGAATTTTAAATCAGGGGTTTCTTATCGTTTAATAAAGTCAAAGTTAACTTTTCCATTGTGGAAAATTATCGCCCCAGTCGCAGGCAAGTTGCAACTGGAGAGCAATAGTCACCAATTTTCGTTCGCATCGACTCTAGTTCAGAAAGTAATATAGCGACCCTACGGCCGAAGTAAAGTGACGCCTTGGATAAAATTTAACGGCTATTAGTAAATGCCTAAAAAGTAGCCCACTTCAAACGTAGCCAAGTAGGTTAGCATTGTGAAACACTAATTAAACAATGAAAGTTCTCGGCAAACCGTCGATCGGATTAGTCAAGTGAAACTCCGCTGTGATGTAGTATAAATTCTTTTGGCAAGTTTAAACTTTTTATCGGTATTTGTAAAGTACTTTAAAATAAGGAAGTATTACTCAGAACATCACGATTGAATCGTTGAATACAAAGTTGCGTTAACCGCGGAAATAGTGATAAGAAAACTGTTCTTAGAGATCTAATTACTATTTTGACGCCAAGGTTGAATGTTTCGAAACTTTGAACTTTATCCAGTTTGGTACACTCTTAGCATGTTCTTAGTTTTGGTTTTTCATACTTGACGTTCTTATGCCAAAATGTTCTTAAAAAAGACTGAGGTACATTCCCTAAACCAAGTCTAGAAATTTAGAATCCTCGAGTAAATGGAATACGTTTATGAGGACAACTTTTCCAATAGACCACAGCTGAGTGGCCGGCTGAAGAATGATAGCCAGCATGGAGAATTCTACTATTCCCTTTCGCGCGGGAAAAGGAAATAGAAAACGTCTGCCCGCCGGCTATAGAATAACCCTCTTATTAACTGAAGAGTATTTAATGATGTTACAAAGTCTAAAAAGGCTAATTAATCATGCACCGATTAATTATATGACGAGTCGTCATTTTATAGTCGCCAAAATTGTGCAAAAGAATATCAAGTGTTCATGGTTCGAGTGTCCTTACTGTAACAATAAAAGTATGAAAACTGAGTTTACCATTAAATTGAGGTTAGTAAGTCGTCGGATGGCAGAAACTGCTAACAGCGGGTTCACGTTTATGGTGCGCCATATTTCATTTAGTATACGTCCCTTGCTTTCGACACTAAAATCTTCTGCGAGAAAAATTAATAATTAATATTGTCGGACCAATACAGCAAGAGGCTCCTCTTCAAGTGGCCTGTAACAAAACATCTTCAATACATACTTCAGGGCAAGTTTATTCTCGTGGCAACTTCAACACATACTTCTGTACAAGTGTGTTTTCATGGTAACATCACCCTTACCAAGGGCACGCAATTCGTGTGTTTCAGCTACGTGGTCGGAAGCGGAGGAGGGTAATCTTTGTAATGGCCCATAGTTCAGCTGCCACTGCTTGCCGTGTTTATAGATTTTTCCTTTTGAACGTTTAGTTAACACATAGTTAATAAAGGTGAATGGTTATGAAACTAGACAAAGTTCTTTGTTGTATGTTTTTGTTGTCTTTTTTTGGCCTTGACCGTGCACAAAACACAATTGTTGTTTACTACTGACCGAGGAACTAACCAACAGAAATGCTCTGATTATGTAATTCATGCATAGTGTATGGGCGAAAAACAAAAGATTGTGCACGGTCGTGGACCTTCCAACATAAATCTTGGCATCTTTGTTTGCTCCTTTGATGTTTGCCGGGCTTCATAACTATTCCCCTCTTTTAACTATGGTTAACACGTTTAAAGCTTCCCTTTACGACACCTTCTTCTTGATCATTCATCGTGATCAGAGAAAATACATCAAAAACAGTTTTTTTTTTCGTATAATTATGATATATCATACTCGTGCGTTATTTTTGACTCATATATTTACTTCGGTTCCGTTGGATGTCCAATAATTCGAATACGATGACCGAACCTTTTGAAAACCGTATATTGAAGTAAATAACACCTTATTAAAAACAAATAGACTCGATCTGACTATACTTGATATCGCTTGCGGTATTCATATGATAGCAATACTATTTTTCTCCGCGGGAGACTTCGGTGTTTAAGGATCAACCACATGTGCTCAGAAAGAAAAGTGAGTGACCATTGTACAATTTTCAGGATCTCCAGCGCCTGCATAAAGACACATTCGAACAAAGGATGAACTCAGATCAAAGCATGGAAAACGAACAAGTGATCTGATTTAGCGTGACAATAAAAAAGTGAAATGTACAGTATTTCAACTCGAAAAAACAATGGTCAACAATGGCAATATTTGCCATGTCTTCTAACTTGGGAGCATGACTGGGCAAATGATTATTGAACAGTGAAATTCTTTCCT